TATTCTGCCTTGAGTTTCTGGCTGGAGGCCAGCATGCCTTTGTTGCTCTATCTGCTTCCATACGTATTCACTGTGACTAATAGCTGCAGTAGCAAGAGCAGATGCATTCTCTGCGTGCATCTTAGCCTCGTTAAGTTTATCAATGGTATCCTCCGACAAGACAGATCTCTGCTTAACTTCGGGTACAAGGTTACCACCAAAAATTGGAGATGGTAAAGATGATTTGATTTTCTTCCCAGGGAACGTAGATACCAGGCTCATAGGGACTGCAGTCATAGAAACAACATTGGGCAGGGTGCCTGCATTAGAAGCCAGATTAGCCGGCGCAGTTGTAATAGGCACAGATGTCGATACAGAAACAAGAGGTGAGACAGCTAATTCTGTCTGCCTTAGCGAATTCAATATGCTTGGACCAGACTCCACAGAGACTGGCATCTTCTTCCGTTTCCTTGATTTTGTCCCGGTGGAAAGTTGAGCAGGTGCAACCACTGTATTCGCTGGCTCAAGTGTTGGTGTCCCTTTCAAAACATTGCTAGAAGTTCCACTCACATGCTTTGCGCCAGAGTAAGGCAAGGATGATTCTTTCGTGGGAGTCAATTTTACAGGCTCGGTGATCGGAAAAACAGGGAAACGAGAACCAACATCAAATCCACTGGTTTGCGGAGAAGCAAGCCAAGGGTTGCGGTAAGGGAGAGGCGACATCCAAGGGGTATTATGTCCAACAATATTTGAAACTGGTGGAGTTTGGTGAGCATGCGATGAAGAAGGCGGTGGCTGGTGAGGAGCAGCTGAACTTCTCTGAATGCTACTTGATTGTAAAGTATCAAGGGAAGTTGTCAAACTCCATAAAGGTGATGACAGTGGAATTATGGGTTTTAATGCTGAACTCTCTTTCCTACTGGTGTGGCCTGCGGATGGAGTCTCTGTCTTCCCTGAGAATGCAGTTTTGGGTATTTAGATCATGAATGCTAACAGTACCAGAGCTAAGAAATAAAATCTAAGCAGACCATAAGAGCTTGAAATGCAGAATAAATCAAACTAGAAACCTGCACGTGATTGCAATGGCGTTTCAGGAGTAGAAACATGAAACTTCTGAGCCCTTACAACACAAGCACGCCATGCTTTCTCCCAACCGCTTTTAGCGCCATCTAGAGAAGTGTAGAGTGAACACACTTTGTCTCAAACATGGATAACGCAATAAATTAAAGAATAACAATCTTACCTGGACCACCAAATGCAGATATCATATAAGCTTCATCAGGCGCTGTTCCTTGGCTGTAACAGTAAAAAAACATAATAATCAAACTTTTGAAAGACAGTATGATGTGCAAGAAGTCAAGAACTCTGAATGAAGTCACTCTTAAATCTCACTGACTCAACAAGACTTAAAACATGTGGAGACTAATAAAGAACTCACATCAGAGCCCCATAAACAAAAATCTGTGCGCGTAGTTGCACTTGTTGCAAATCTGTGAAAGGTCGACGCAAAATACTGGACAGAGCAGAAGAATTCAGATCTGGTAGACTTGTTGTGGGGGCTGCAAGGGTCCCAAAAGCATTTAGAGCAGGGGCCTGAAGACTTTGATGCTTCTCAGTAGACTGTGTGATCTGAATAGAACAAGCAGAACTTGGATTGACAGCATTTGTTTTGCCTCCACTTTGAAGAAGTTGAAAAGGTGTAGCCCCTTTTACATTACTTCCTTTTCTAGAAGTCTCTTTTCCTGCAGATTTAGATGTTCGCCTGGGTTTACGCTCAGATTTTTTCTTGGAAGAATTTGCAGCTGTCTTCTCTAAGCTAGATGTTGACGGAGATCCCTCCACAATCTAGATAAACAAAAACATATGTTACGTAAGGACAATAACTCTAATGCCACAATATTTTCCTTGACCACTAATGAAAATATGTCAAGATAAAGAATTGGAGGTACCGGAGAGACAAGGGTAGCTTGTGGAAAATTAACAGCTTTGGAAATCTCCCCTGCTTTCGGTGGATTGGAAGTTATGTTCAGCCCACTGCTGATGGTTTCCTCTCTATTCAAGACCGGAGATCCGGCAGACATAAAACCCGAAATATTCTGATCTTCTGGCTTTTTGACACTGTTTGTCTCTGTCTTATTAAGTTGAAGTTCGGACAACTTAACAGTGGGGAGAGAAATAACAGGAGTCCCTAAATTAGTTGCAGCGTTTTTTGTTCCAGTCACTTGGGACTTTCCAGCAGGCTCAGAACATGTAGAAGCAACGGAATCTCCTATCTCGATTACATCACCTGCAATATCCACAGGAACATATTTCCAATGAGTGCATAAAATTAGTTGCATGAATCTAGAAAAACAAAAGCATTGGTAGTTCCAAAGATCAAGACCTGTAAGACTGTATTCTTTAGGATAGAGCATTATTTACATAAAAATTACACAGATTATTGACTCTATCGTGGAAGTTCACAGTATTCATACAGCTACTATGCATCTCCTGAATAAACCATTCTAAGAAAACCAAAAGATACTGCAAGAAAGAGAAGTTTATTGCTGCTACGAAGATCATAGAGACTCACCTTTGAGGTGTGAAGCAGGAGTCCCAGCTGTCATAATCCCACCGGATGGAGCAGTGTTATCCTCTTCCCGGTCATCTTTCGCAGTTTCACTCTCAGGATCAACCAAGGAGCTACTATTAGGCTTTTCATCTATGCCATCTTTGTCCAGAGTTGACGGAATCTCTGAGCAAGAAGCAAAAGAAAAAGATATTAATACAACATAAATCAACTTATCATAAGACGTAAAGAAATCTGGGAAGGTCTTATAATATAGCCCAAAATTGAAACACATTACCAGGAACGTTTACAGCTTCTGTTACTATATTTTCTTCTAAAATTGTTTCCTCGGACTGCTGCAGTAATACTTGTTCAGCGGCATCAGCATCTACTGCATCCTTTGACCCTTCATAGGTAGGATAGCCTTCGACAGATTGTGTATTTTGCTGAGTATCTTCGGTATGCTGCTTATCTTGTTGGTCCACCTGACTCCCTGAACTAATTGCATCCACAGGTGGAAGGGTTTGACCATTTTCAGGTTCGTCAGATGAAACCTTCTCTGTTTCAGAAAAACTACCTTGCTCGTTCACATCCGAGGATATCTTAACCATATGTGAATCTATTGAAGTTGTGAGACTGACAGAAGGTGCTCCATCTTGGCTTAAATGTTGTAATTCTTCGGGATTGAGAGGAAATG